GCTTTTATTAGGCTTATATAAAGGATGATGAGAAGGATAAATGTCCACCAGGCAGTTCAGATAGTACGGCTGTTTTTGAACTGGAAGCAGAGGAAGTGGACAGACTCACAGCCGGAGTCTGAGGCAAACAGCGAGGATGTTGATGACGATGTGGCAGATGCATCCTTCCTCATACAAGAGTTGGGTCATGATGAGGTAGAGGATGAAGGCAAACACGCAGCTCCTCAGAGATCCAACAAGAGGAGTGGGCGGCGCCGTGCAGCTGTCAGATCTCGGCGTGAGACAGAGCCACCCCCCACTCCAAAATGCATGTTCATTATAGCCAAATTAATAAAATAAGTATAAATTCAGATAGTCCAGGTTGTTCTGAAAAAAATGATACCCCATAAGGCAATATTTATTGTTTTTATTAGAAAATACAAAAGAAAAACCTAAATGAGTCAAAAAAGGTGATTTACACCCTGGACCCCAGAGGGCTAATAATTTTTTTATTTATTTGTTATTTGCTATATTTATTCATTTTTTTAAATAAATGTACAGTCTAGATTACCATTCTAAATTATAAAAAACATTCGTCATAAATGTTTGTTGGTTTCACAGTAAAATAAACAACTTTTTTCCAATTCAGATTTTATGTTTTTGAGTGATTTGAGGTCTAATATGCAACCCCTTTATGTCATAATATAAAAAATAAGTATAAATTCATAAAGTCCAGGTTGTGCTGAAAAGATTGATACCACATAAAGCAGTGGTTATGGTTTTTATTTTGGAAATACAAAGGAAAACTCTAAATTAGTCAAAAACAGCAAAATACACCCTGGACCCCAGAGGGTTAAAGGATAGGTTCAATAACTGCATGTTTGAAAACAGATGGCACAGAGCTGGATTGAAAAGATAAACTAATAAAATCCACAATGCATGTGCCAATTTGGTCAAACATCTTTAGGAGCAAAGAGGTTGGAATAATATCAAGACAGCATGGTGTTGGTTTCATGCCTTTCTGAATGAGATAAATGTCCTGGAAATTTACATGAGTAAAGAAGGAATATGATTGAGAGGAAGGTGGTTGGATGAGACAGTAGGAAGTGGAAGGGGGTGAAAAACGTGCCCTGATATTTCTAATTTTATTCCAAAAGAATGCCAGAATGTTGTTACAGTAAGGCCTTGAGTAAACTGGCATAAGAGGGGCATGAGGTGAAGCGATCTGGTTTATGGTGTTAAACAGAACTTTAGCATTATTTTTATTTGAGGAAATCAGCTGAGCAAAGTAAGTGGCCCTGGAATTTTTCACCATCTCATTCAAGGTTGTCATCTGGTTTTTAATGAGCTGCTTGTGACTTTCTAATCTAGTTGACGTCCAAAGCCTTTTGGCCAGTGGTGGCTCCAGAAATGTTTTATTGCAGGTGCTATGAAGGAGCTAGTCTTTTTATTGAGGGTGCTATGAAGGAAGTGGTCATGCGTACCTATTGTTCTCTAAAACACCTTCAACACTAGCAGATACACATGCGCGTACAAAACCTCAACAACGCCTGAAACAATCATTAATATACATCATAAACATATGAACAATCGCTGACTTTTCCATGAAATCATAAACACATACAGCCACACAGAAAACCATCTATAGTGTTGCAAGGTTAGCTAACATTTGCGTTAGCATTTCCAGTGGCAACACCCTGGACTGCTGCGGCGGTTGAGGGTTGACTCTCTTCATCCAGATCCATAGGTTTTTGTGGGTCTGAGATAACTTCCAAACATTCATTCGTTTCCGACTGAACCCGTGGAAATGTGAGCAACAAAAACCGATCCATCTTACCTCTAGCTCTACCTTTCACTCGTTCACAGGTGGAAAATGAGGTCAAAGGTTAACATCAATTTCCTGTTTTGGTTAAAGTTTTTACTATCTATATGATAATTTACAGGTTATTTTTGTATTGTATGTTAAATATTATCACATCCACACGTTAAATTAAAATTGAATTGTAAAAAAAAAAATCTACTATTTACTTGGGGATGCTATGGGGGTGCAATGACTAATCCAGGGGTAGCTATAGCGCCCCCTGGCGCCGCCACTGCTTTTGGCTCTGCAGCATGTCCTTCTGAGACTCTAAATATTTTGATCAAGGACTTTTCCTTCTGTTAGATGAAACAATCTGCTTAACAGGAACCACTTTGCCTAAGATACTGCAGCATTGTTTGTTCAGTGATTGGATAAGCATGTGTGGATTATCACCATGTACCAAGCTGCTGTCAAATAATCTAGAAAATCCATCCACTGCTCACTGATTAGCGATGTGCCTCTCTGATTTAGTTTGTGAAGGACAAGATCAATGTTGGATTATTTGGACATTAAAGTAAATGCAGCTGTGGTTATTCAGATGAACCTCTTCAACATGTAAATGATTGATGTTTAGTCCCAAAGAAAAAACAAGATCCATTGTATGGCCCATTTTTGTGTGTGGGGCTTGAACCGTGCTCAAGTTAAGACTCTAATAGATATGAACTCTAATGCTGTGCTACAAGCAGTATCATATATGTGTAAGTTAAAGTCACCAAGTATTAAAAGTTTCATCATTGATGATAAAAATTCTGAAAGAAATGGCCAACTGGAAAAGGAGGTCAGTAAATTAAAATACAGTGAAATACATTTTGTAACCCCATTATGATGACCTGCCATTGAAAAGTGGGATAAAAGGGCCATATTTCACCATATTACAGACATGTTTGTCATTAAAGACCACAGCAAGAACTCCACCACGTGACGGGTGTGGCGTGGTAAACATGGTGGACAATTTCACTGAAGTGCACAAAATTTTTTATCTTACTGCTATGTCTCAGTAAGAACTAAATAGTCCAACTTTTGTCTAATGAAGTACATTAATTTGTAGTAAGTAAATTCTATTTATATAGCACTTATCACAGACATAGGGTGTTTCTCAATGCCAAGGAACCTTGCCTTGATGTCTTGGCCCCGCCCCGGTTGCCTAGGAGATACGTCATTGGGAGCCGCCAAGACGTGTTCCAATGTTCATGATCTCAGTTTGTTAGCCATTTAGCTAGCTGAGCGAGGATACACGAGAGGTGTCTTGTAGCCTAGCCTAGGTCAAAAATTACCCAGAATACACCGCAGTATTTTCAAAAGGACGGTGGATCAGGAGCCGGCAGCTACTTTGGGGACAATTTTCAAATTTAAAAGTAAGTCAGCTAATTTAAAATGTTATTTTTTTAGATCCAAAGAAGTTATCTATGGTTGCTTAGTAGTTGCAGCTTTGGTGGCTAGGGGGTAGTAACTCACTTATATATTTAATTTAACAAACATATACACAATTTAAAAAGTTAAAGTCTCATTATTTATTTATATTGAAACTAATGAGTATAAAATATAACGTTATCTCCCGTTTCACGTGACGTTACGTGACCACCGTGGAAGCCGCAGTCACGTGATGAAAGTCTGTTCCATTTAACCGTTTTCTTTGACCAAGGAAGGACCGTGTCCTCGTAAGCACGGCTTCTGGCCTCGCAAGACATCGCCTTGCAAGGCCAGGCGCCGTCACATTGAGAAACACCCATAGATTCACAAAGTGCTTCACATAGATCTAAACAAAATTAAAAAAAGTCATAAAATCATAATGATCTCAAAACAAAATTGTGTTTTGAACAGCTCATTTAGAATAAAAGATGTTTGAAATGGAACAGGCATTTAACAGGGTACTGGGGATCATTTGTCTTCTTAACCTGTTGGAGGGCAGTGATGCGTTACTTAGTAGCATGTTGCTCCAAAATGACCACTTTTCACAGTAACAACTAATCTAAAGCATTACTATTTCCATATCAGTAATCTAATTAAAATGACTTTTCCAAGACACTATACGTTAATTGTTACTAGATTTGTGTAATCATTTTTATGTTAGGCCAAGATGTGAACACCAGCTACACAGCAAATTCAGCATGCTCAAAATAACTCTGTCAGAGTTGATCTCAACACTTGTGTCTGTATGGGTCCACACCAGTAAGAGTTCACTTAACTGTGTTTGGAGAGCTGGTACTTTAACTCTGATTTAGTGTTAAAACCAACTCTTCTAGAGTAGCTAATCTAACACCATTGTAAGTGTTAATATAGTAACTAACACTGGTGGTAAATTATCTACTCTTCTAGAGTAGATAATTTACCACCAGTGTAAGTGTTAATATAGTAACTAACACTGGTGGTAAATTATCTACTCCAGAAGAGTTGGTTTTTAACACTAAATCAGAGTTAAAGTACCAACGCTTCAAAAAGAGTTAAAGAGCAACTAACACCTAAACTAACTTGTTGTTTTGTTGATAACCTGTACAGATGAGTGTCTAATGGTGCTGTACACATGTGTAATCACTAGTGTGGGACTTTAGTACAACTTACTTTAAAAGTAATATTTCAGCCCAAAACCATAATTCTATCTCCATCTTCAGGTTAAAACTCTGTTCTACATTCATGTAGAACCTGCTGTGGCTGATGGCTACGCTGGAAAACGTGACGTCAGCAAATTACTGCACTGCACTGGTCTCCAGGTGAGGCAGCCGTACCTCCACCTGTCTCAGCCACTCACCTGCTCATATGACACGTTGGCTCTCCGAGCCGCTTGCCTCCTTGAAAAAAAACACCCTCCTCCCCTTTTTCATCTAATGATCGTGGTTAACATGAAGTCCTCCAGAATGCTGCAGCATCTGTCTGCTCTTCTCCTGAGCAGTTAGTCTTGCTTGAGTGCTTGCGTGCACGCACTTCGTTACTTTTGAAATGAGGTAATCAGTAAAGTAAAAGAGTTACTTTTGAACGTAGTAATCAGTAGTCAGTAATCAAACTACTATTTTAAGGTAACTGTGGCAACACTGTTGGAGAGGGATGGCTCATAAACATCCACGAGAAACTATGGGAATTGGGCCAGAGATGAAAACAGACAAAGACTTCTGCTCGGCTGAGGCAACGCTAAAGTCCCACACATCAAAAGAAGGATGGCAATTACCTCAGCTGCTCCAAGTCTCGATTCCTGATGTCATGGTCTTCTTCCATTTTATTTCGAAGCTCATTGTTTTCTTGTCTCAGCTGCTCACAGAGAGTCTACCAACACAAAATATTCATCAGAACTCGATCTTTCTGTTTGTTTTCAGTTCAAGTCAGCTGACTGACACAAAATGAAATATGAAGTGGGTGAGCATATATTGGATGTGACTTTTTTAAATTAAACAAAGAGGAGTAGATGTGGGACAAGAGTAAATGTTAACAGTTCTGAGTAACTTGTTGTCCTGCTGGCTGTGATCACCAGTGGTTCTTGTTTATCAATAAATAAACGTTTCAAAACAATACAGCTCCATTGCATGATAAACCACTTAAAGATGCACTTTTTGGAGAAAAAAATTAAAACCTGTGAGATTAGGTTAAAATTAGGTTGAACTGATTAAGTCATCTATGGTCATGAGCTTTGGGTAGTGACCGAAAGAACGAGATCGCGGATCCAAGCGGCCGAAATGAGTTTTCTCCGAAGAGTGGCTGGGCTCTCCCTTAGAGATAGGGTGAGAAGTTCGGTCATTTGGGAGGGGCTCGGAGTAGACCCGCTGCTCCTCCACATCGAGAGGAGCCAGTTGAGGTGGCTCGGGCATCTGGTCAGGATGCCTCCTGGACGCCTCCCTGGTGAGGTTTTCTGGGCACGTCCAACCGGGAGGAGACCTAAAGGTAGACCCAGGACACGGTGGAGGGACTATGTCTCTCACCTGGCCAGATTTCCCTGGTGGAGCAAGCCCAGGTGGCTGGGGAGAGGGAAGTCTGGGCCTCTCGCCTTAGGCTACTGCCCCCGCGACCCGACTCTGAATAAGCGGGTGGGTGGACGGATGGATGCTTAAGTTGATTTCAAATGCAGTGTAGGCAGATGCTCCCTCTCCCCAGTTTGACACAGGAAGCATCAGCGGGAGAAAACGGCAGTAAAACAGTTTACTTCTAAGCGGTCCTTTTCACACCGGGAGAGTGTCTGCTGTGGCATGGCTTCCTTGTTGTGCTTTTTGCTGGATTCCCGACATCACAAGATCCCTTGAGACTTCAAAGGTCACAGTTTGTTTATGCCATTAAACCAAAGAGAAGAAAATCACGTTTGATATTGATGTTTGATGCAATATATGATATTATTCCTCTCCACTGCCAGGGTTAAAGCCATGAAAAAAACACTATTGCTGGTTGTTACCCCTCGGTGCAATCTTCTGCGCCTCTTGAGAGGGGGCTGGGGCTTCTCTGGTTACAGTCTCCCTGGGGTCCCTGTGCTCTGGGCCAGCTCCTGGATCTCTGGGGCTTGGAGCTCCTTTTAGGGTTGGGCATCGAGCGTCGATTGGAACCGGTTCCAACTGCTCATTTTTCCCGGAATCGTCCAAAGTTTTTATTTCGATTCCTAGAATGCCGACGGAAGAGGAATCCGCGGCCGATCTCCGTGAAAAATAAACCTGATCTGCAAATTGTGATCAACGCTTTCCAGAGCTGATCACACCAGCTGTCTGTGTGCAGCACGAGTCCCCCCTCCCCCCACCCAGATATAAACATGTCTGCCAAACTTTTACTCCGTGATGTAAACGTTAACTCCTGTAGCGTACAGGAAACGTGATAAAGACGTACAAGGTGGATTTAATAGAAGCTTTAAAGAACAAACTCTGGACGGTGTGAGGTGAGTTTGTCTCACTGCAGAAATAAAAACACACACGGAGCGTCAGCAGTCAGACGCAGCCGCTCACCAACACTCGTGTGTGTGTGTGTGTGTGTGTGTGTGCGTGTGTGCGTGCGTGTGTGTCAGCAGTAGTGGTGTGCATCTCTATCTGCCTAAAGGTTCGATTTGAGTCTGAAATGCATCACGATTCTTCACACAAAAATTTTCATTACTTAATAAAAGCAGTAGAATAGTTTTCAATTTCTTTTTGATTTCGAAATCCCTGAAAAACAGAACATTCATCTATTCACTATAGTGAGCAATAATGTTTAAAGTGTGCTGCCTATAATTACTTAAATAATATAAGAAATAATGTTTTCGGTAGAGCAGCTTTAAGATAGAATATTATTGAACTTAAAAATAGTAAACAAATACTGTGTTAAGTGATTCTTTCACATCCAGGATCCCAAAACCGAAATTAGCCCAGACATCCGATTTAAATGTAACGGGTACATCTTTGATTACTGGTAATGTTGGCCCTGTATCCCTGTCCGCCTTTTCTGTTTTAAATTGGCGCTAGGGCAATGCAGTGCGCATGTCATTGCAACTCTGCCCCCAGAAGTAATTATAAAACCTCAAAACTTTATTGTCCTCGTATAGACATAGACCGGGGGTTGGCAACCTGTTCCCATCAAAGAGCCATTATTACCCGTTTCCCACAGTAAAGAAAACACCGCAGCAGCCGCGGCGTTGTGGGCGGGGCCTACCCTCAGACAGCAGAGAGCTGCTCACAACAGGTGACAGCAGCCGGTACCGGTCGCTCGTGTACGTCAAAGTTATCTTCCATAAGACGATAATCAATAAAACGATTTAAATAAAGTGGATCCAGAAGTTGTAGCTCGTCTCTGCCTACAATATTTAGATATTTTTCACCCTGTTGGTGGTTTTGCTGAGCAGGTGCCACTTTTGTCATACGTTTCTTTTTAAAACATGTTTAGACGGTTCAGAATACAAATCCAGGCTCTGTCACGTTTGATTGTTGTAATTAAACTTTGTAGGTGGGGAAGGTCAGAAAAGGATCCGATCAATTTGTTTTCCCCTCATTTACAGTGACGGAGACAACGGCGCAGTGCGCCTGGCTCTGGTGTTAATCAACTTAAATTTTATCTCTTTGCAACAATTTTCACAAGAAAACAGAACAGTTAAAAGCAGGGCTTGTGTTGACCGGACAGTTCCCGTATTTGACAGTTTATTTTGACGGAGAAAGAATAGAAAGAATTACCCCGACGCATGCAGACGAACTGACATTTTATTCTACACACATCGCAGATGTAGCTACAGTGGGGCAAAAAAGTATTTAGTCAGCCACCGATTGTGCAAGTTCTCCCACTTAAAATGATGAGAGAGGTCAGTAATTTACATCATAGGTACACTTCAACTGTGAGAGACAGAATGTGAAGAAAAATCCATGAATTCACATGGCAGGATTTTTAAAGAATTTATTTGTAAATCAGGGTGAAAAATAAGTATTTGGTCAATAACAAAAATTCAACTCAATACTTTGTAACATAACCTTTGTTGGCAATAACAGAGGTCAGACGGTTACTATAGGTCTTTACCAGGTTTGCACACACAGTAGCTGGTATTTTGGCCCATTCCTCCATGCAGATCTTCTCGAGAGCAGTGATGCTTTGGGGCTGTCGCCGAGCAACACGGACTTTCAACTCCCTCCACAGATTTTCTATTATTACAACATTATTAATTAAGATAAGAAAGTTGTCATGGTTTGTTTAATGAGAAATTAAAATCAATAGTACAATATAATATAACAAAGAAACATTTGCAGGTTTACAAGCAAACACACAACTTACACAATGCTAAGAATGGGCGCAGGCAAAAGCATAAGCTTATAAGCCCAGCCCCCCAAATCCTTTGAACTTAAACAAAATTTTAGAATAGCATACCGATTCCATAATTTTTACATCATGTTTGAAATGTATGGGAATATATTCAAATCCCCATTCTAGCTTTATAAAAAAAAAAAAAAAAAAGACCTTTAATGTTTTATGCATTTTTTGATTGACTTGATTCATAATATTTAATCACATTTGATTTAAACATACCCTTAAACTTTACCATTGTTGAACAATCTTTTTGCTCCTGGTCTAATTTATTCCACACATCAACCCCAACACAAGAAATACAAAGTTGTTTCATTTTAGTTCTTACTTTAGGCTTTCTAAACATTTTATACCCTCTGAGATCATAAACACTTTCTCTGATCTGGAACAGATCCTGAATTTGTTTTGGCATCAAATTATACATCACTTTATACATAAACTGTGCAGTTCTTAATGTAACTAATTCTCTTAGCTTTAATACTTTTAAATGAATAAAAAGTAAATGTGTATGCTCTCTACAAGCTTCTTTATTTACAAGTCGGATTGCTCTCTTTTGAATTATAAACAAAGGCTTTAAGTGGGTTTCGTAGATATTTCCCCACACTTCAACACAATACATGAAATAAGGCAGAAATAAGGAACAATACAAAAGATATAAAGCTTTTTCATCTAAAAATTCTTTAACTTTATAGAGAACTGCTAATGATTTCGATAACTTTGCTTTAATTGAGTCAATATGCGGTTTCCAACTTAACTTTTTTTCTATGGTTACGCCAAGAAATTTTATTTCATTCGCTCTTTCAATTTCTGTATTATTTATTTTGAGATTTGTATCCACTGTAATTGCTCTATTAGTAAATATGATAAATTTTGTTTTATTTAAATTTAAATTTAATTTATTTAAGTTAAACCAACACTTTAATGCATTTAATTCTTTCTCAACCTTGTCCATTAATGTTATTAAATCTTTCCCAAAACTTAGAACATTAGTATCATCTGCAAATAGTATGAAATGCAATGTTTTAGAAACTAAACATATGTCATTAATATAAAGGATAAACAACAAGGGACCCAACACTGACCCCTGTGGGATACCGGTGGTCACTGTCAGTAGCTGTGAATCAGTGTTGTTAATGTGGACATATTGGAGTCTGTTCTCTAAATAACTCTTAATCCAGTCATAGGCCACACCCCTGATGCCATATCGACACAATTTTTTATTAATAAGTCATGATTAACAGTATCAAAAGCTTTGGTCAGGTCTAAGAAGACCCCAACAGCATATTGTTTGTTGTCAATTGCATCAGATATTTTCTCCACTAGATCAACAATTGCCAGAGAAGTTGTCCGATCACGTCTAAAACCATATTGCTGTTCAGAAAGAACATCATGATGCTCAATAAAGTCATACAATCTTTTATGAAATATTGTTTCTAGTATTTTGGAGAACTGAGATAAAATAGAAATTGGTCTATAATTAGAAAAGTCATGTTTGTCTCCAGCCTTATAGATAGGACTGACTTTTGCAACCTTCA